GTTTGCCAGGTGTGCACAGACATATCAGCTGCCAGTTATACCGCAGCTATGCACAGAACTGCATTTCTGTACACAGGGAACCTCCCCTCCCCCCCACGTATCCAGAGTTCGGCATCCGCGCACTTCAGTCTTCGTGGATTTTTTTTCTTCAAAAAAAAATTTTAAAAAACGGTATTCTCCGTGTTTCCTAACAGCAATGCTATTTTCTTTATTGCCCAAAACAATTACCTCGCTTTTGTTTTTGGTTTACTTGATGGGAATTTTGGTTCATCCGATTATCTGTCCGTTTGACCGTGATACAAAACACCAAAATTGAACTGTTGTCACCTGGGGACATTGATCAATAGGCTGAATATTTTGTGCAAGAGCGGCTCTCGAATGAGTCCCAAGGCCTTGTCGACCGTCAAATCCTATCCATCACACGGTTACCTCCCAGACCTCCTTGTGGTAAGTTAAAATCCGTCATTCAGAAATGCCTGACTCAAATACACCCTATACATGTTTTTATAGCATTTATGACTCTCAGAAAAAAAGGGTGAAAGTCTTGAAACACTTTTCAAACAACAAATTTAAACACATAATATTTTGAGGTAGAGCAAGAGCAATGAATGACACAAAATATTGTACAAACAGTATAAAAAAAACAAAACAATAACTCTAAGAATATTTGCAAAAAAAAAAAAAATCGGTGATCCAATGGGACTGTGAAAAGTGAACTGCAATATTGTGGTGGGTTCACTGAACTGCAGTTCTTGCACTTACACTGTACAATTTATCCAACGCTTGTCTCTTCGTGTCCGTTCTAGTGGTATTGCCTCAAAAGCGAAGAGGGAAAAAAAATAAGCAAACAAAAGGGCAAAATAGATGAAGGTGATTGCGAGCTGCGCCTGTCACGGCACGGTGGCGTTGAACGGCGGCGCCCAATCGGGATACGTATCCAGTGAGAACAAAGGCACGCCCCAGGTGCTCACGGCCAATAAGACGACGAGGAGGCCGATCACGTTGGCACCCAGTCCTGCCTTCACCTGGAAGCACGGGCCATCATGGAGGTCAAGGTAAAAAAAAAAAAAAAAAATGCCACAAAATGTTGGTCATGCTCACCATGTCTGCCACGCTAAAGTGTCCGTAGGCGAAAACCACGGCGTTGGGAGGATTGGACGCCGGCAGCAGGAAGGAGAAGGACGTGCACAACGTGGCCGGGATCAATACCGACAAGGGGTTGACGCGAATGCCTTCGGCCTGCACGGCGCGGACAGGAGAAGACACATGAAAAGGTGGAACGATGGTGGGATTAGGGATTTTTTTTTAAACAGAAAACCCCCCAATGTGGAGGGCGGGGGGATTAGTGTTGACGGCATGAAACTGGCAAGTTCTCCCAATAAACGGCGGCATGGGCGTGTTTGTGCGCGTGCCCACCAGAGGCGAGAGGATGGGCAGGAAGATGGTGATGGTGGTGGCGTTGCTGGCCAGCTCGGTTACCATGGTGACGATGATGCAAGCTACAGCCACAGTGGCCAGTGGGGGGAGATCGCCGAGAGGGGACAGTAGCTCTGACACCCACCGGGACAAACCGGACTCCTAGACAACACGCGCACACACACACGCAGGCACACTTCATTAGCGACACCAAAATATCATTTCATATCAATGTGTGTGTGTGTGTGTGTGTGTGTGTGTGTGTGTGTGTGTGTGTGTGTGTGTGAGAGATTGGGGGGCGTGGGGGATCGGCGCTGCCCTCATGAATATGCAAATTCTTAATGCGAGTCAGACTCGTCTTGTTTGCTTCCCTCCTGGGAATCCGCGCACAGTACGCTCGCTGCTTCCCTCTAGTGGACATCACAGGCAGTACAGGCGCACGCAACAACAAGCAGCGGGTCATGAACAATTCTTGGAAAAATATTTTGCCATTTGCAGGGTACGTTTACTGTCAAACTAAGCATAAAATAAGAGAGAGCATTTCACGCGACTTTTTCGCCAAAGAACACAACTTATGAAAGGTTGCCTTCTTCATGCCAAGGTATGGCGCCAAATGTCATCGACAGGTTTCATTATGTGGCACTATTTTTGTCACTATTTTTTCAACACAGTTCCTTGATATCAAGATGCCATATGATGGTGCCAAAGCAATAATTTCATTGCTTTGGCCTGAGCGGGAAGAGTTTTTCTGAGAAAAAAAATGGATGCTATTTAAAAAAAAAAAAAAGGGGGTTTCGAGAAGAGGGAG